GCCCGATGCGGGACTCGATCCCGGGACTCCAGGATCATGACCTGAGCCGAAGGCAGTCGCTTAACCAACTGAGCCACCCAGGCGCCCCAGGAAGCTCATTTTAATCTACACCTTTATAATAAATTATCGTAAAAAAATAACCACTGTTAATCACTATGTTATACACCTAAAATAAAATCACACGGCTATGTTAACTTCATGAATATCACAACTATTCTATTAGGGTATTTCATGCCAGGGTACATTAGCAAAATAAACGCCAAACCCCCACCCCAAAAAGCTCCCACATCTCAATGTAGGATTTGGGGTGGAGGGGCTTTCCTCTCTCCTGTGACTTAGGGATCCAGGAAAACATCTCCATGACAGCAAGAGGGACGGATGTCTGCAGCAGGTGGTCTAAGGGAGTTACGTGGCACCAAGTGAACTGCAAAGGAGTCTGGGATGTGGAGGGATCACATGGACTGTTCTGATGTAGTTTCTGCCACTCTAACTCCAGTGCTGGCCCAATGCCTGGGAGGGACTATCTGTAAAACAAATGGTTACCTTCCTCTTAACACCAAAGCAAGTGCCACGGGAGAAAGTGGGTTAGTGGACCTACATCCACGTTAAGTAAAAGCAAGCCCTTTTAAAGAAAGTTAAGTAAACATATCAGAAAGAAGTCTTGAGAGGAATAAGCTTTTGATTAAAAGGAAACTAGGCACACCAACTGGACCAAAAAATTCTTGTCTAGGTACTGCATGGTATTTTTTCTATTCACAGCTTCAGAGGTATAATGAAGACCTGGTTAGTTTTGGTGAAGATCTTTGATATTTTCCATTATCAGCAATGGATCTCTTCCTGTCATTTTTTTTTTTAAAGATTTATTTGAGAGAGAAAGAATGAGACCGAGAGAGAGCATGAGGGGGGAGGGTCAGAGGGAGAAGCAGACTCCCCCGCTGAGCAGGGAGCCCGATGCGGGACTCGATCCCGGGACTCTGGGATCATGACCTTAGCCGAAGACAGTCTCTTAACCAACTGAGCCACCCAGGTGCCCCTCTTCCTGTCATTTAAAAGGAAGAAATAAAAACTACCTTGTTTATTTACTACAGAGTACTTCTTTTATATAAAATGGAAGGCTGGGGCGACTGGGTGGCTCAGGTCATGATCCCGGAGTCCCGGGATCGAGTCCCACATCGGGCTCCCTGCTCAGCGGGGGGGGTCTGCTTCTCCCTCTGACCCTCTTCCCTCTCGTGCTCTCTCTCATTCTCTCTCGCAAATAAATAAATAAATAATCTTAAAAAATAAAAAAATAAAAAAAAATGGAAGCCTGTTTGGGGTATGTGGGTGGCTCGGTTGGTTTAAGTGTCTGCCTTTGGCTCAGTCATGATCTCAGGGTCTTGGGATTGAGCCCTGCCATCGGGTTCCCTGCTCAGCGGGGAGTCTCCTTCTCCCTCTGACCCCTCTGTCCCCACTCAAAATCTTAAAATTTCACCTGCTGCTCAAGCCTATGGAAACTCTCAAACTGCTTCTAGTGTTTGAAGGATACTTAAACTACCCTGTTTACAACAGTATTTTTTTTAAACTGAGCTCTATGTCCAATGTGGGGCTTGAACCCATGACCCTAAGATCTACAGTTGCATGCTCTACTGATTGAGCCAGTAATAATTTAAATAAATGCTTCTGACATTTCAAAAACTACCAGTCTCCTGGGGTACCTGGTGGCTCAGGCAAGTTAAGCGTCTACTTTCAGCTCAGGTCATGATGCAGGGTCCTGGGATCTAGCCCCACATAACGCTCCCTGCTCAGAGGGGAGCCTGCTTCTCCCTTTCCTGCTGCCACTCCCCCTGCTTGTGCTGAGAAAATCTTTTAAAAAAAAATTGGAAAAACACACTATACCAGTCACCTTCTAAAATAACATTTCCATCAGTAACATTACCACCAATGGGTAAGACAAGAAAGCAAGAACAGTTTGCAATATTCTGCTAGTATCTATATACCAAATACCAATTTTAAACCACGCCAAGTCTGTGTTGGTTCATTAAGACAATTTACTTCATCATATAATTGGGGAATTTAGTTTTTACTTGATTACCTTGAGTAAGATGCCTTAAAAAAATACTCCTAACATAATTGAGTATTTTAAACAGAAGTACCTTTTTTAGTTTTCCTTATAAAATGAGGGTTTCAACCTAGGACAAGCTGCTATGCTGTGACAACCATGACACCTTTCTCCATATCCTGCACGTCTCCATCTCAAGTGGGTAATTATTTGCTTCAAATGAATCTGTGGGGGGCGCCTGGGTGGCTCAGTCGGTTGAGCGACTGCCTTCGGCTCGGGTCATGATCTCAGGGTCCTGGGATGGAGTCCCACATCGGGCTCCCTGCTCAGCAGGGAGTCTGCTTCTCCCTCTGACCCTCACCCCTCTCATGCTCTCTCTCTCATTCTCTCAAATAAATAAAATCTTTAAAAAAAAATGAATCTGTGGGAGCTCACAGGAGTTAAGAAGTGGAAACAGCACTTACTGTGTGTAGCGGCGGGGCAGAGATTTGAGACCAGTTTTGTGCAGTGGAGAAGTGAGAATTCCACTTACAACAGGCGGGCACACAGAGCGCACGTGCAATGCACAGCAACACACATTATGACTGGCAGATACATTAACTTCCCCTGCCTTTTCCAAGATGCAAAGGAAGCTGCTCCCAACACAAACCTACCTCAACTCCAGTAAGCTATTGTCACTGCCTCCGTAGACCATTCCCTGGACCACAGACTCAAATACGCCAACAGGGCAGCTACTGATGAGCCTCTCCCTACTTTCCAGACACCAAAATGCAGAGGCTTTTTAAGTCTCTTCCCCACTCAGAGCCCCAACACTTCTACCTTGCCTCGGAGGCTCTCCATCACTCTGAGGGTGCATGTGAACCCCAGCACGACCTGGTCAGTAGCAGCTGAAGGCAGACTTTCAGCACTTCTGGAAGGAAGCAGTGGATACATGAGCTCACAGAAACAGACAACTTGTGGACCTACAGCTATTACCATGACCATGCCAAGTCACAATACACCCAATTCCTAGAAATGCAAACACCGGTAATTCCTAATCCAAATGTTTTAAAAGATTCCACTTACTTAAGAGTGACAGCGAGCACAAGTAGGATGAGGGGCAGAGGAAGAGGGAGAAGTGGGCTCCCAGATGAGCAGGGAGCGGGGATCATGACCTGAGCTGAGAACAGACTGAGCCCCCCAGGTGCCCCTCTAGGAAGCAGTATTTTTACAAATAAGCAATGCAAAAAGGTCACCACAGAATGGTTTTTATTAGAAGTGTGATAGAACAGTCGGAGAGAAAAGTACCCTTTCAAAACACATCATGTGTTGTGACCTACCTGCTATTTGTGGGTAGGAAGCGAGTTCAACCACAGGCGGATGGCAGTGCTTTTGGCCACTCAAGGCGGCCTAAGAGTTAGTCTTGCAAATTCTGAAGTACAAAATAGTGTGATGATCCCAGCTGTAAGGTCTCGCTCAAACATTTCTCAGCAGGCCAGGTCTAGGGAAGCGATCACTTTTCTCAATGAACCGTATCCACAGAACAACTGATGAACCGATCAGAGTCAAGAAACAAATGCTATGCTTTGACACCTACACGGTTCAGAACAGCTCATTACACAAAACAGAAAGCCAATTTGGGGTGTTTTTTTTATTGTTTTATTTGGGAAAAGTGCTTCTTACAAAAGGGCAGCTGCAAAATCCAGAGACCTCTGCAACAATTACTTGTTTTTTCTTAGAGTGAAAGAATGGGTGGGATCCAAGGAATGAATCAAAGCAGTAGATGGGACAAATGAGGAGCATCTCCAAGTTATTTTAGGAACTAGAGCGACAAAACTCAAAGCTAAAGTTTCCAATCTTCTTCTAACAACTTAACTTTAGCTCGCCTCGTGGATTACCACCCCCGCCCCCCCTTCAGTGGAAAAGCATGACTTACTCCTGCCAACCAATAACCCCCCTACAAGAAACACCTTCAACTAAGTTCCGAATCACATCTGTCTACCTGCAAAGCTCAGGGATGGAATGAGGCAAATACCCCCAAAAACAAACACAAAAACCTGACAACAAAACCTCAAATGAGGACAAACATTTGTCCCAAAGTGCCTGGCCTGGAGAGGCTGGGAGACCCTAAAATATTAAATACAACTGTGTATCCGAGCCCTGGTTTGTGTTACTGAATGGGACCAGCAGACAGGCGACCCCTGTGGCTAAGCCCATTTCTATTTATATAGACTGAGCTAGCACCGCTCTACCGACAGCTACAGATATCCTGCTTTGTCCTTCACATCTATGTGCCATATGAGGCTGAAACCACTAAACCAAAGTTTTTCCACTAAGGCTAAGAACACAGCATCTATGCAGGGGTGAGAAGATTTTCACACAGTCTCACACACACCAAGTCCATCAGCCCCCGGGAGTCCGCTTCCAGCTCGGCCGTTCACGCAGGCCACTGCATCTGTTGTACGTGTTCCTTCTCAACTTCCCTGTCGTGCTCAACACAGTAAAAATCTCAACACATTCGCACCTGGTTCTGGTTACCCAGTAGGAGGACTTGTGCGCAATTCAACGAGAGGCCAAAACCACAGAACAGGTGCACAGTGGGAGTTATGGGGTAGGGAACAGATTTAAAAACACCGATGTGCAGATTTCACCAGAAACCTTGGGTATCCACCTCGTTAAGTCTGTGGCAGGCTACGTGCCACAGTGCAGATCCGTCACCCATCCCGTCTATTCTGGTACCCCAAAGCAGGGCAAATACTGTTCTTGAACCTGGGATCCTCTATGTGTGGAGAGTCCATCAACACTACCCTAGACCGGTGTCACAATCTGGTGGAAAACAGAGGACGCAACATACCTATGCTAACTGTCTGACAGTTAAATTCATGTTACAAAAAAACTAGCTTTAAGGTTTATTTTTGTAACTTTTTTAACAGAAAACAACACACTCCTTGGGGCAAGGTGAGGGATCGAGACAGGCCCTGGGTAAGGAGGATCACGACAGCACCTGGAGTTGATAGGCCTGCCTAGGAGAGAAGCTCGGGCACCGCCACGCCAGAGGGCACAGCTACTGTCTGAGGCTCAGCAGACCAGTTCACCCGCCACGTCAAGCTGCTATAGATCCAAGTCATAAAAATCTTCCAGCTCATCATGAAACAAGTCCCACTCGTCTTCAGAGTCTGTCAGGTCGTCGTCCCCACCTGCAGCCAAAAGCATAAGCAACATCTCGCCCAGCTCAAAGGTGACAACCTCCTCTTCTTCGTTGTCAAAGGGGTTGCTGTTCTCTCTTTCCTCAATGAGCTCCCAGAAGTGGTTCCTTCATTGGGCCTGTAAAAAACAAGGCCATGATAGGGATGGCACTGTCCAGTAGCATCTTCTATGCTGTTGTTTCTAAGGCAAAACATCCAGCACACCAGAGGGCATGACGAACCAGACTTCTTATTTAGGGTTGACTTTACCAATTCCTCCCCTCTGGTTACTTGAGGCAAACCGCTTACTCTAGACCTTTAAGAGCTAGCTTTTCCTCACCTATCCCTCCCAGTTTCCTGACGTTGCCGTTCTTTCATCTGCCAGTCTCACTCCCAGACCTGAGTGTCAATCTCCTTCCCCTACCCCAATCTGTGTGGGACTCAACTGATAGCGTGGTATTTCCCCTCCTTTAAAAAAACAGCGAGAGTTACCCGGTATCTGCTTGATGTTCCCACTTTCTGTCTCTGTGGCTCCTCTCTACGGCCATCAGGGTACGCATGCTTGTAAAAACAGTTCCCTCCAAATGGGCAGCTCCCACGTCCTTCATCAAAATACCTGCACGCCTTGTTGCTGGAAAGGAAAATATCGCAACCCTTATTCACAGTGGATTTCAGGTCTGTAATTTGACTATCATCCGGTATTTCTTTAAACAGGTAGTGATAGAACCAGCATGTCTGCTTCCAGCCCTCCCCAAGGTGTGTTCTTAAACATGTGTGTACTAATGCATGAAGCACTGACTACAGCAAGATACTCTGTTCAAGTCTGTGCTGTTCGTAACAGCTCCAGTCCCGCAGATCCAGCAGAGAGAGAAATCTTCTAGGAAGCCCACACACAAGCACACAGGACAACTGTAACACGGATTCAGAATGAGGCCGGAACCCACTCACGGGGCTTCAGCTATCAGAGCAGACTTCGTTATAACCCAGTCCCTGGGCGTGCATCCCAAGGACTGCGTTATAGCAAGGTACACAACGGGTAAGTGTTATCAGGGGTGACAAAAAGGAACTGTACTGGGAAGGCAAAGAAAGGGTAGGAAGGAGGTAGGAGTATATAATGCAGCACTGTTCTTTTCAAAGTGAACCCAAGCGACGTTGGGATCTTAGCCTGAGAAAAGGCTGCAGTGCTCATACCTCATTGCTTCCTTGTATTTCTGAATGAGTTTCTGCTTCTCTTCTTTCTCCTCCACCCAGTACTCACTTGGAATGACAAAGTTAGATGTGATCCGGCATTCTGGGCAGGACCTGGGAAACAATGAACAGGCTGCAATGCACATCCCCCGTGACAGGCCCACTCTTCCTCAAGGACACACCCTGGTGCGTCACCTCCATACTTAAAAGACTTAACTGAAAGCCAAGTGGGCATTTCCTGAAAGGGTTCCACACACTGTCACACAACTGACCATTTCTTTTGAGGCAAGACAAACTCCTTAAATCAACTCAATGGCTAGCCAGTTCACTTAAAAAAAGTAACTTCCATTAAAAAAAACAAAACAAAACGAAAAACAAAAACAGAAAAAAGAAAACAAAAGAAGACATTTCACACGGACTCCTTTTTCTTTCATTTAAATAAATTTATTTCTTGTAACTTTGCTCTGTTTAGATTATGTAGTTTTTGTTCAGTTATGAGAACAATCTTTAAAGGATGGTGGATTATTGGCTAGCTTAATGGATGAATAGGAAAGTGGAAAATGTAAAACGTCAGGAAACATACATTCAGAGCTAGGTAAGTTTCTTCACTGAGCCTAAACTGGCTAATCCATTAAACACAGTCTCCTCAGAAAAAGCACGAAGATTCTACTAACTGATACATAGGGTTTCCTCATTCAAATAAAAGATATACCAACTAACCTAGAAGCTAGCTGAAATACAAAGAAGAAATTCCAATTAGAACACCCCCGTTTCAAGATAAAATGCATGCATTTAAATGCGGTCCATCTGGTTGAAAGTTGGCACAAGATACTAAATTCTTCCCCAAAATAGAAAGCACAAACGAAGATTGGGGAGGAGTCTCACTTTATGATCTTGCTCTCAAATTGCTTAGCACTCCTCCACTTGCGAATACACTTGAGACAGTAAGTGTGGTTGCAGTTGGAGAGAATCCCAAAGCGGCGCTCACTGGGGTTGGCTTTTTCATAGACCACCTCCATGCAGATGCCACACACCAAATCCTTACTGCGCTGGACAGCAAATGAGAGCTCCATGTCCTTCTCATGGGCCTCAATGCAAGACTAGAAAAAGTGGAGAGAGAAGAAGTGTAATCAAGTCACTGAATAATGAAAGACTTCAACTTGACAGTTAATGACTCCGTTCAAATAATCAATAGTCAACTGAAAAGATGTTCCCAACTGACTCGAAAAGCGGCTTTGTTCAAATACAGGTGGACATTCTACATATTTACATCCATCACTAGAGTCAAACTAAGAACTCAACTTCAGAAACTGGGGGAAAAAAGTATCACCCAATCTTCGCTACCCTCCATGTTACAATCCATGTTAAGATAGTTTTTCATACTCAGCTTGATCTTCTGGTTTCTAAATGGAAAATGTAATTAAGATTAAGGTCTTAATTAAGTGTCATGAAGTGAGGGTGAAGGAAGCTAACATTTATTAGGCGACAATTAGGTGCTTAGGCACCTAATTTTCACATTAAAAAAAACAGCTTTGAGGGCGCCTGGGTGGCTCAGATGGTTAAGCATCTGCCTTCGGCTCCAGTCATGATCCCAGGGTCCTGGGATCGAGTCTCGCATCAGGCTCCCTGCTAGGCGGGGAGCCTGCTTCTCCCTCTGCCTCTGCCTCTCTCTCTCTGTCTCTGACTCTCATGAATAAATAAAACATAAAAAAAAATAAAATAAAAATTAAAAAACAGCTTTGAGATAGATACTTCACATACCATAGGATTCATTCATTTAAAGGTTACAATTAAATGGTCTTTGTAGATGCACAGTCATGCAACCATCAAACCAGTCAGTACTGGAATGTGTTCACTACCCCAAGAACCACCCCATACCCACAGCAAGGAAATCACTTCACCGGAAACCGACCCTTCCCCCACTTCATTGTCAACTACTAATCTGTGGCTGTTCTTATTCGGGGCATTTCATATTAAGTGTGTCCTTTTGTGACAGGTTTTGTTCACTTAGCACATTTTCAAAGTTATCTATACTGAAGGTATCAGTATTTTATTTCTTTTTATTGCTGAGTAATATTCCATCACAGGGACAGACCGCTATTTATCCATTCATCGAGTGATGGACATTTTGGTTGTTTCCACTTTGGGGCTATTAACAATTATGGGGGCACCTTGCCCACGCAGAAGAGCATGTAACCCTTGATCTCGGGGTTGTGGGTCTAAGCCCAATGTTGGGTATAGAGATTACTTAAAACTTTTTAAAAAAAGAGGTGGGCGCTTGTGTGGCTTGGTGGGTTTTGGCTGAGGTTTCTGGTCTCAGGGTTCTGAAATTGAGTTACCATGTCTGACACTGCACTTAGCAGGGAGTCTGCTTAAGATCCTTTCTCCCTCCCCCTCCTCTCTCAAATCTGTTAAAAAGAGGGGCGTACTGGCTCAGTCAGTGAAGTGTGCAGCTCTTGATCTCATTATTGTGGATTCAAGCCCCACACTGGGCATCAAGTCTACGTAAAAATGAGGCTGACGGACATTATATATATACACACATACTTTTTAAATTTATTTAGAACACGTTAATTTTAAGGAATAGAAAAAAAGCAAAGTCACCCATAATTACACATAACTACAGTATTTTAATAACATTTTTTATTTTCTGAAAGTTCTTTTTAAACAATCCTGAAAGACACTACTAAAAAGGGGGGGGGGGATGGAAACAAACAGCACTGCTGCCCATACCCAATATATAGCTGAAAGACAAGGATTTAACTTGCCCCAATTCACACAGCCAGCATGTCGTGAAGGTAGGATTCAATCATGTCTCTTATACTATGGCTTTACCCAACAACCAATTAATTTTTTTAAACGTGATAATGGTTAGAAGCAGAATTTGTTGCTCCAATCAATATAAAGTTTGTAAAACAATGTCTTCAACAAAAAACTTACATTGCAATTGGGCTTAAAAACCATAGTCTGGGGGGTGCCTGGGCGGCTCAGTGGGTTAGTGGTCTGCCTTCGGCTCAGGTCATGATACAGGTCCTTGTTGCTCAGCAGGGAGCCTGCCCTCTCTCTCCTGCTCCTATTCTCACTTGCGAGAACCGTAGTCCGAAATCCTCATCCACCGTGATTGGGAATGTAAAATGGTGTACTCACTGTGCAGAAAGTCTGGCATTGCTCAAAGTGTTAAGCATCGAGTTACCAGATGACCCAGCAACTCTACTCTCTAAGGTAACTTAAAACATGCCCACAAAAACTTACATATGAATGCTCATGGCATTATTCCCAATAGCGAGTGGGTGAAACAATCCTAAAGTCCTTCAATTGACGAAACGGAAAAACAAAATGTGGTATAGCTATACAGTGCATTATTATCAGCCAGAAAAAGGAATGAAGTGCTGATACACACCACAACACAAATAAACCTTGAAAACATTATGCTCATGTTTAAGACAGTCACAAAAGGCTACATAGGATTCCATTCATATGTGATCTCCACAACAGGCCAGTCCAGCCATTAGTAGATTAGATGTTGCCAGGGAACTGCAGGGAAGGGCAGAACAAAGAGTAATGGAGCTAAGGGGCATGAAGTTTTTCAGGGGAACTGTGGTAATGCTGCACAAGCATGTTAATGTATTAAATACCAGTGAGATGTGCGTCTTCGAAGAAATCTCACATGCATTAACGGACTACTTCCCTGAAGACTTACTTTTATATGCTGCGATCTCTGGGCAGCATCCGTCGGATGGAGGACCTGCAGCCCACACATGTCGCAGGAGTCGCCGTGGAGATACACACAGTTCTCCCCGTACCGGCATTCTCCGACCGTAGCATAGGGACAAAGCTGCTGCTTGGTTTCTGCTCCCGTTTGCTCTTTCTCCAATTCCTCCTTGGTCACTGAGCCCTGCGGGGATGCTTCAGTGCAGGAAGGGGCAGCTGAAAACGTTTAAGAGGGTAGTAAAGGTCCAAAATGGGTAAAGCAGATATATGAACCAAGGTAACTGAGAACCTAACTGAACAGAAAACACATGAGAAGAACTTCAATTAAATTCTGAAATCTATTAACTAATCCCTTCACTATGGAGAGATCAATTTTCTAATGCTGCTTGTTTAAAAAAAAACAACAAAAAAAACCCCACTTTTACGTACTTCTTGTGCGATTGCACTGATTAAAGATGCTTCGGTTTTTCAAAACATTCTAAATTCACTGGGATTCAAAAAGTTTCTTTCACTCCATCGGTTATTCTTAGGTAATCCAATTTAGAGTATTAACTCAGGCTAAGTGTGAAGAGTGGAAGCAGGAAGGTTTCGAAAGCCTGCTAACTGGTGAGCTATGGCCTAGCACCCTAAGTTGTTTTTAGTTTTCAAAATACTCACTACGGCCACAGTAGGGCTGCCCAGGAACAAACTCAATGGCATTCACCCAGTCTTCTGAACCTGCTCCTACAGTTGCAAAGTTTGAATTTCTTGACTCGGCTTCGCCCGTATTCATTTCAACAACTGGTCCAATGCCTGATGCGAGACTTGAGGAAGCAGCAAGGGATGATTTCGCAGTTAGATCTGCAGTCACTTCGTCCTGTTTCAAAGGCTTGCTATGTTCATATCTAAAAAAAAATTCAAAGTCAGCAGTCACTGTCTAGCCAGCAGCCCCAATTAGGGTATGAATTCCCTGATCCTGTCCTTGGGTTGTTTTCAAAATCTCTTACCTATGAATCACCCAGGAAATTGTTAAAAGGCAAATCTGGAATCTCTAAGTCTGGGGCAGAGCCCATGATTCTGCATGTCTATCAAGCCCGCACAGGGTATTACTGCTGGCCCAAGCACTCTTGAGCAGCAAGGTCACAGACCAGGGGTCAGCAAACTTAGAGCCTTCAGCCAGGTTTGGCCTAGAGGCCATGTTTGCCCACCCCTGCAGACGACCACCTATCATCCCTCAAATTCCACTCGAATCTGGAGTCTCATGGTTCCCATGGCAACTCTGCTAAAGAGACTGTGCACCGGAAGACTGATCAAAGCAAGGCGGACCCTCAAACTCAAGTAGAAAACATAGGACATTTTACCACGTATGTTAAAGTGTTCACAATATTAAACAGGAGACTTAATAATATACAACATGTAGGGCGCCTGGGTGGCTCAGTTGGTTAAGCGACTGCCTTCAGCTCAGGTCATGATCCCAGGGTCCTGGGATCGAGTCCCGCATCGGGCTCCC